TTTTTTTTTGTTAATTGGTGAATCTTTTCCGAGAAGAAACTGCAATCGAAAATCCGTACCTAAAATGTTCCTCTACAATGACAATCTTTATATATATTTGCTAGTGAATCCAAGTTGGGCCGACAAACATTTGACTTTCCTCCTTAAAGAGCCTTAATATCTAAGATTGAAAACGCACTTGACTAAGCAGATTAAACAGAAAACTGGTAATAAAGCTCCAGCATCTTCTTGAAGATCCTCATCAGTAGGCTTGATGCGTTTGGCCCCATTTTTCCTGCAAAGCTTGACGAATGATTGATTTTCGCGATTTCTCAAAACAGCACTTCCCGACCATCACTTTAACGAATCAGTTAACGAAACAAATCGCAAAAGATGCGAAATTGGCATCTTTTCGCGGACCTTTGATCGCCTTGATTACCACACGATTTGACAAGTGGCCGTCGGTTTCTCTTTGGTGGACTCCAGGTGGAGACTGTCACAATATGGAAGATAAATGGCATAAATGAATAATTTCTTCGGCTGCGTTGCCACTCGCATTGCCAATAAAATTCCATTCCAAGTGGCCGATTTATTTAAATCAGGTATGCGGTCAAACTTCGGAGTTTTAGAACTCAAAACTGACCCAATTTTTGATGCCGGTTGTGCGGAATTTATTTATCTGCCATTCGACCGGGCTGCAGATGCCCGCTGCAACGGTTCACTTTTCCTAAACGTTTTGCCGTATATTAACGAAATTGTCGTTTAATATCTGAGAGTTTAACAAATCCAATATACAGGGTGATGGACGAGGACGAAAGAACTACCTAGGAAAAATTGAACAGTTTAGTCGGACTTCTATTGTCCTACAAAGATGGTTTTATCATAACGTTTCGGTTGGTCGTATGCCCAAACCAATTTTCGGTCAAGGGCGGATCATGACCCCTCCCATTCAGTTCTCTATCCAACGATGCCAAAACGAATTCTCTGGCTCGAAGGGTTCTTGAGAAACTTCGAAAAAAGCAGCGTCATGTTCAAGTGGATTTTGCAA